CCAAACCATTCATGATTCTGTGATTCTTTAAGTGTCATCTGAAATTCTGACAAGAACAAACAAAGTAATAGAAGATATCTGAGGCAGGGAACACTTTATAAAGACAGAATATTATCACTTTCAGTCTGGTAGTGTATTAGGTCTGAAATGAACCATTAACTCTTAAGAAATAAGAAAAGCCAAGAATTACTAAATTTGAACCTAACAATAAAACAATTAAGTTTGGTGAGGTATTCTATGCCTCCTCTTAAAGACAGAATTTTACACGTAAGACTGTTAACAAAGTTTCAGAGTATTACATACAAGTAATCCTTGTAGAAAATTGGCATGCAAATTTGGAATTGCTACTAAAAAATCCTAGACATTGGAAAGAAAGTGATGAGTTAAATTTCATCCAGATGTAAATACAGCAGTTGCTAACTTAATGCAGAACAACGTTAAAATGAATTATCATGGTTGAATAAATCTCACAGAAGTGCTAGATAAGCACTTTTACTAATTCACATTCACAGGAACATAGACAAGTACTAAAAAAATGAAAAAGGAAAATGTTCCATAGTGCTATTTGCGGGGGGGGGAAGCAATGTAAAACAGTCAAAGGTTTGCCGAATACTTATTAAGCTTCTAACACTGGTAAAATTCAGAGCTCTAAGTTGTCCTGGGTTCAGCTGAAACAGGGTTAACTTTCTTCATAACAGCTAGGATTAGGCTGTGTTTTGGATTTGTGCTAAGAAGAAAGCTGATAACAGTGATGTTTACAGTGGTTGCCAGGACAGTCAAGGTCATTTTGGCTTCTCTGCTGGGCCAGTGCCTGTGAGTGCAGGAGAATCTGGGAGGGAGCACAGCTCCCATTACTAGCCTAGGATTCAATCTTAGGTTCGAGACTGAGACCCAAAGTGGCCAACAGTCTTGCATAACATATGCGTCATGCCCAGTATATAGGTGAGGGCCCTCCAGAAGCTCAGCCCTTTTTGTTCTGGAGCCCTTCTGCTCCAGGTCAGCTCCTTCCAGGTCAGCTTTCTTGGTGGTCCCTCTCCCAGGGTCATCTCCCTCCCTCGGTCAGCTCTTGGTCTGAGCTACTTGGACTCTTATCTCCGTTCCAGGAGTGCGGTTTCAGTACTCTCCCTGCTCCAGGATCACTAGCTGGGAACAGGCTGAGCCTTGGTCATCACGTGGTAAGCAGTATCACTCATTCATATATTTGTATATATTATTATTTTCAAGTTTATTGTAGTTTCAACCCACAAGTCTTTCTTCCCTTTACCCCTTTATTTTTCTCCCCATCCCCGGGAGGGCAGCGGGGGAGTGAGAGAGCAGTTGTGTGGGGTTGGCTCCCAGCCAAGGGTAAACCCATCACAAAGTTACAACTACACTGGTCAGTGTTACCCCAAATAAATCAGTATCTTGGTGATCCTGCAGCTATACTTTTTTTTCTAGTTTTCAGAATCTGATACAGAAATAGCTCCAAGGAGGTGAAAGTACTGACACACATGAACAAGGAGAGACAGGTGAATCAGAGGCACAAAATAACTTACCTAAAGTCATATAATGGAGCAAAACCAGAAAAGAAGGTATGTATGTCGACTAATATATTAGGTTAGTATCTAGAACTTAAAACCACCTTTAACATTATTTTCACTATTTAGTTGTATATGCTAACACTCCCAAACTAGTAGCTTTTCAGACACTCAGATAGGATGTAAGTTGTCTCACAGATGGCACAAGGAACAACTAAAGGGATATTTTTTAATTACTTAATGTAGGGTATACTTCAGAAACAGGTCTTTCAGAACAGCAATCTGTGTAAAAGTGGATATGCTAAAATACTAATTTGTCATGAACAGTGCTTTTTCTATGCAGTATTTCTCCTTTCTGTCACTCTGTAGGAAAGCATCATATATTAAATACTGCAAGGCAGTAACGAAAAAACTAAATTTTTCTAAATACAATGTTTTACAGAGATTATTTATTACATTATCAGTTCTACTCCATGACAAAGTTGACAGATGGAATCATGTCATTTTATATCATCAATATACTGCTACATTCCTGATAAAAAGCAGATCAGCATAAGTAATCAAATTCAAACTACAATTTTTTTGCTACTCCAGTTAAGATGTGACACAAAGGGAGCTTAAAATTTTTTTCTTTAACACATTATCCAGTCTCCTTTAACGAGTGATGGTCAAAGCTGAAAATAGCTTGCCAGGCCCAGGCCAGAGTTATGAAAACTCTTCCTGAACAGAAAGTTCACTGCAAGTTTCGTAAATTACATCCCAACAACTTGCTTGAAAAGTGGTAAATAACAGAGCAGTACAAACTAGACAAGGTCCTCTTTACCTTCACAATAAGGAAAATGTTTCTCCTTCTGATCTCTGACAAGCATTTGCCAATTTGTGAGCAGTAAGGAGCAAGTAAGACAAAGTTCAAAGACAGCAGGAGCAGGATACAACAGTAATTTTGGCAGTAGTCAACTAGCGGCAACTTCTTTGTCAAGTTGATAGAGAATTTAAATTGAAGGAGCAAAGAAACAGAGGAAAAAGAATCCTGTAAAGTTCAGTGGAAGAGTTATAGGCATAATGGAAAATGTTACAAAGCACCTGAAAATATTTGCCATCTCCTTTTCTAACTGAAATGCTTGAGAAAGAGGAAGATAAGAGGTTACAAACCTCAATGGTTTGTGTAAATGGAGAGTGAAAAGAAGAAAAAAAACAACTTACTTTTCACTTTGCAAGGGAGCACATTTCTACAAAAAGACACAACAGCCATTTATCTTTGGGTAGTGGGAGACCCTGACAGAATTTCATTGCTCAAATCAAAGATGGTGGCATTTTCTAAACATCTGAAATTCCAAAACAGACTCTGCTTGCGACTGGAGACTTAAGACTCTGACAGACTGTCATACGATGCTATGAAACTGCAATTATTTGCTATTGTAGACTCACTGTAGGCAGTGACTATCTATATATTTCCCCTCAAAATAAAAGAATGAACTTACCACTTGTCCATTCTGAGGATTTTTATGTGCATACGGGGGTCCACGGATGTGATTCCACATCTGACCAGATGTCATGGCAAATACAACACACTAGAACAAACAGAAAACAATATACTTATTTATCTACCAAGAGCAATTGAATCATAAAACCATCCTCTGGTGATGTTTGTTTTAGATACATAATTATTTATCTAACTAGATAACATTATCTACCTCTATTGGATTTTTAGGATAGGGTTTTCAAATGCAGTGCTCTCATAAAATTGTTAATGACTTCTGTAAGAAAATGAGTTCGTTCAAGTTAGTTCGAAATCTCACTTGAAATAATCCTGTTCTTATGTGCACTTGGAATTGCCACATTACACATTTATATGGCAAAAAGCACTCAGCAGAAGGCATTAATCTCAAAAATTCTGCAAACTAGTGTTCAAGATTTATATAACTTTTATGAAGTTGTTTCTGCCTCTAATCCAATACAAATATTTAGCTTAACTGTTTGCTTTCAAGTGTATAAAATTATATAAAAAATCATTTATGAAATTCTCATGGTGTGATTGTGATTCATTTTAGCTATGAGAAATAACAATGGTTGAGTTGGTAGGAAAGTGAAATTCCCTATGGAAGTAAGTGTGGAGTTATGTATAGAGGAATGTAGGAAAACTGTAAAAACTGACATTGAGTTCTTACAGAAGGTCATACTGCAGAATCTACATTACAAACACCATAATCATAGCAAGAGTCATTATGACTATCCTAAAAGATGAAAATATAGTATCTTCTGATTACCAAATGAGAAAAACAGAAATGGGAAACCTGGATCATCTACATATGTCTTCCGACTTACTAATACAGACAATCCTTACAAAAATTCCAAGATAAATTAAGTAGAGTTTTTACATATATGCCCATTTTCGCTATATACATCAATATTCCCACCAGCATAGCACAGCCATAAATAATTTAAGTGGACAGATAACAAATACAAAAATTCATACCATGATGGTTAACTAAACCAGGGTTTACTAAAAACCAAGGTTTTCTTTAAAGAATGTTTAGTAACACATCTGCAAAATAAAGGTAAGCCAGCATACCTCTGTATCCCCATAAATGCAGCATTGCCACCTCTACCAATATGATTTGAACAAACTTTGGAAGGCCTTAGGACTGAACCTTGTGCCAAATCTGCTCCCATATGGAAAGATTAAAAAACCCCACTCCAGTGTATATTTATAAAGCATAAATCTCTCAAATTACTGAAGACCTTTCATGTTCACCAACACAAATACACTGTCTCACAACATGGTAATGTCTAACAAAAAATATCTAGGAGACACAACAGCGGGGAGAAACAAATTCCAAGTATTAAAATTATTGAAAAGGAAAGAGTTAACAATATGGTTGTTTATCCTGAAGGCATCTTTCACATTCTTCCAGTTTAGACTGTCAGTGACCAAGAAAATTAATTTAGTACACCACATCCTGGATCTGCCATGATTTCCTTCTACCATGCACCCCTTTACTGTATATTTCAAGTGACCTCTTCAGGAGTCAAAAAATATTCTCCAGATTCTCCCTTGTTCTCTTCCATTCTTCATCTATTTTAAGTATCCTAAGTTCACAGGACATCTTTAGTGGCAATGAAGCTCACCCCTATGACCAGTCCTAGGTGAGTACACTGTATGTGTAGACAGTATTGCTCTAGGGCTTGTTAAGCTTTGTGGTGCTTTCTTCATGGCTTCACAGAGCATGAGTTCAGCCTTAGTTCCACTAAGAGGTACACTGCTTTCAGCTCACCCATGGTGCACTTGTGTATGTATCACAAGGCTCCTAAGAACAGACACAAGGTAAATAAGCACCAAGAGTCACACCAGAACACTGAATTGCTAGCAAGACACAAATTTACAGGTACACAGGAAGAATTTCTCAACTGTTCTTAGTCTTGCAAGCTTTGTCAAATGATTTAGGTTTAATACATCACTTTCTCAAAGGCCTAAGTTTTATTTAACTGTATCTACCAGTTTATTAAACAAAATTACTAGAGACTTAAAAAGCCAATTGGGTATGTATTTTGATGTCAAGCTTCCTACCAGCAGATACTATACAAAGTAGATTATAAGATTTCTCTCTGCAAGTTTAGACCCCAGAAGATGACAAATACTTTGCAACACAAGAAAAATAATGAAATTCTACATTCATTTATGAACATAGTTAAATTCAAGTATTGTTTAATAAAAAAAGGGGGGAGACACAGGCACCCAGTTCTGTCCTTAATTTATGTGCTGTTCCATATATGTCAGTTTTAGCCATTTCACAACTGTTGTTTTAAAGAAATGTAATCCTTTCTACCCACTGTAACTTTGCTTTTGTACTCAACGAAGGCTACAGAGTTGCAAGACCTGAGCTCAATTTCTAAATAACAATCCATCACTTACTAGAATCTCCAATAACAGATACACAATTCAAGGACAGGGAGCAGAACACACAAGCAAAGAGAATGGTTTTTTGTACCTTTAAAAGGTACTGTGCATCTCTAAAACGTCTAACTATGGAAAGAAAAGGAAATTAATAACTTGCACTTATTGCTCTTCTTTTGAGATTACTGTCTACTCACACAGAGGAGCCTTACTTGTTCTAGCTGTATCTTCAAATAAAACACGTTACTTTTTTATCCTCCTTCCCAGATGGGGGCAAAGAAGCCACTAGTAGCCATGATACACTTCAAGCTCTTTTGGAGCAATAACTGATGAATGTACGGTACAGGTAGTGTGGAATGTATCAGCACAGAGCACATTTCTCATAACCATTAGCTGTTACGGCAACAGTAAATAAACACATGCTTGGTCTCTTCATTCAAGTGACTTGACATATTTTGGCCAACAAAGTCAACTCCTAGGCAGCTCCCTTGGAATCTGAGCACAGACTTTGCCTTCCCAGATTCCACAGATATACCACCAAATCTGAAATATACACATAAAATAAAACTGAAAATTACATGCAGAAAACCACAGTGTCAACCCGTTAAAGGAAATGTTTTAAAAAGCCTCCTAGTAGCCGACATTCTAGCCAACAAATAAACTCTCAGCACCAGAACTGTTGTCTGCAATGTAGCAATTCCTTATCTAAAAATGTTGGAAAATTGCCCAGTTTGTATCATCTGACCTTTTCTCTCTGCTTAAGAAATGAAGAGTCTTGACAAGAATCTGAATTGCTTCTTGTTATCAGTATAAAAGGACAGGACTCTGCAAATATCTAAGGACTGAAGTCCTTCCTCATCTTTATGCTAGCATATCAGAAGGAAAAATATACACAGATGAATAGTAGGATTTGATTAAAAGTCTCAAATAATCTAGGGGATAAATTTTGGATGCAATCTCAAAAAACATCTTTTGGGATACTATGTACTGTGACTCAGTCATCATGGTTTGCCATGGGTAACGTTGCAAGTGAAAGTGCCTAAGGCAGACAAGATACTACCAGAATTTGCAGTGCTCCAATGAGTGGATGAAATTGGTAATGGCACTGTGCAATCTAACGTTGAGAACAAAACAAATTCAACAGTCTTGTGTGAACTGACATTGCAGTCAACGTGTGCGATGAAAGCTCTGATCTTGCTTCTGGAAAGTCTATCAAAGCGATTAGATGGATCACTAAAAATGACATTCCTAAATATTCTCCTAATACAGTGCTGGAAATATTACCTATGAGATACAACTTTTCGCGATCAATGGAGTTACCAAGTAAAAATTCAGTCAACATTTCTGTGATCCTCTGTTCTCCTGATAGTAAAAACAGAGGCACTTCATGCTGAGAATTATTTTCCAATTTTTAGTAACAGATCATTCAATGAGGCAGAGAGACCATCCACTTTTAATTTAAATAAAAGGTATTCAACATTTGGGAGTATAAAAGTTCTTCAAAACACACTAAGAAGCTCTGAAAAACAAGGGAAAGAAAAAAATAGACTTACAAGAGACTTCACTGTTTGCAGCGATACAGTTTTCAGCTCCTGATTCTATCTACTGATATCTATGAAAGAGTTTCAGTTGAAATTAAAAATGTTATTTTCCCTGTGGTTAATAAATGCTGGCTACCTAGCAGTACACCACCTCCTCCAAAACAATCAAACACCCAAACTACAGCTTTCAGAAAAATGCTCCTGTGCTTTCTTATTTCTCCAACTTCTATAAAAATAACTGCCAATAATTTATGCCAAAAATAATTGCCAATGCTCCTGTCACAAACATGGGCCTCCTGAAGTTTTTATGCATCTTGCCAGGCTTTCACCGTTCGTTTTTTAAAGTTCAAAAATGAAGAACTATTAATGAAGAATGTAATTCTTTAAAATTACGTATTTACAGTAATTTATACACTTCATAAAAGCATTTTATTAGGCATGACTAGCTCCCCTTAACAAGACACCATCTTCTCCATTTTTCCTTTTAATGAGCTTTTATGAAAAAAAGAAACTACATTTTACTGGTAGAAAAAAGTGCCACGTAACAGAATTATAACTACACAATATCTTAGAATGTATATTTTAATGTCCATTTTCTTGTATGGATCTTGACATATTCTAGTCATTTTACAGAACTGAGGTCATCAGTGCAAAAGCCTGTCATCTGGAGTCCCTGCTGATTCCACCAAAAAGAACTTATAACATTAACTTGTATGTCCATGTAGATCTGAATAAAAAACCAAAGGCCTTCTGGTAGCTGCATGACCTTTGCTAAAACACCATTTTGCAGCATGGGGCTTTGACAACATTGTGAAAGCAAAAGAAGAGTAATGATTAAAAAAAGGGGATTGCTATATACTTTCAGAAGTAAGACCATTTTCTAAAACAACCTCTAAGTGTTATTCATTTTTAAAGCAAACATTTAGTAACAATAAATGGCATTAAGGGGATTTTAATACCTTTTAACTCTATTATTGCTTATCAATACAATTATCAGGATGACAATTACTGAATGGCATTAATACAATTTCTTTAAATGTTTGATCACATCTGGATATTGACCCTGTCCGCAGGGGTTGAGTTGAATGTGGTTAGAAGTTTTCTACATTGCAATTTACAGTTATGCTCAGATGTAAAAATAGCCAGTTGCTTCTAAGGAGAACAGGAAATAATTAAAGAAATAATCAATGTGTTAGTTTTCTTAATTTAATTAGGAACTTAATTATGTCTTCAACTATTTATTGAATGCAGACTGTAATAGAATGATTCTTGACTTGCAGAACTGATTTTTAGCCTCTGCAAGACAAAAAACAATTTCCCAAAAGATTAACACATTAAACTTCTGATCTGAAACCCTGAAGTATGAAATTGGAATAAAATACAGTTCACGGTTAAACAAAGGAAATACCACTGATTACATAGTTTTATTTGATATTTGACACAAACATCTATTTTGGTGTGCTAACGATTGTTTTACTCAGGTGATCTTGAAAGGTATTTAATTAGTACTCCAAAAAAGTTAGACTCATACATATCAAATTTGAGCTTGCTTGTGGTAGTATATCTTTAAGAATCATTATAATTGAAAAATACTGGTAATCTAGAAAAAAATATATGAAACTAAATATGACGGACTTACTTTGGAAGAGAACTGTCAAAATTCTGTGCTAGAGCTCAGGATACTCCAAATAACATCCTGGAACAAAGAAGACATCCTGCCCTTGTTTCTCTAGATCAAAACGAAACAAGGTTCTACTTGAAATCTAGTCCTGTGGGTGGTTTATTTGAAAACTTGCTCTTTATTCCTTCCTCAAGGTACAGGGTAGATTAACCAACTGCTTCAACAAAGAATGCATGCCATATACACTAGTAGAAAATGCTATAATAGCACATGACAGAAAACAGCATTATCAGGAGCCACTGTTAAAGAGTAATGACAAATATTAAGGAACTCCAAACAAAGAGCCTGCTTAAGGGTCTTAGTTATTAACTGTTTAGATATAAAAATGAATTAGAGCCCAACAGGTACTAGATAATTTTTGAACTGATGTAATAAAATCTGTCAATGGGCCCATCAGCTGAAAGTGTCACAAAAGAATTATAGAATTATAGAATGGTTTGGGTTGGAAGGGACCTTAAAGATCATCTAGTTCCAACACCCCTGCCATGGGCAGGGACACCCTCCACTAGACCAGGTTGCTCAAAGCCTCATCCAGCCTGGCCTTGAACACCTCCAGGGATGGGGCATCCACAACTTCCCCGGGCAACCTGTTCCAGTGCCTCAACACTCTCACAGTAAAAAATTTCTTACTAATATCTAATCTAAATCTATTATCTTTCATCTTAAAACCATTACCCCTCGTTCTCTCACTACACTCACTGATAAAGAGTGCCTCACCCTCTCTCCTGTAGCCCACTTTAAGTACTGGAAGGCTGCTATACGGTCTCCCCGGAGCCTTCTCTTCTCCAGGCTGAACAACCCCAACTCTCTCAGCCTGTCCTTGTACAGGACGTGCTCCAGCCCTCTGACAATCTTCATGGCTCTCCTCTGGACTCGCTCCAACAGGTCCATGTCCTTCTTATGTTGGGGGCCACAGAGCTGGATGCAATACTCCAAGTGGGGTCTCACAAGAGCCAGTAGAGGGGGAGAATCACCTCCCTCAACCTGCTGGTCACACTGCTTTTGAATATGAGAAGGCATCTTCTCATATTGTTGAATCAGAGCAGAACAGCAAACCACCACATTATAGGATATATCAGTAAACTACTTCTAGCTGAGCTAAAATACATAATCATAGAATAGCCTAAATTGGAAGGGACTTCAAAAGGTCATCTTATCCAAGCTCTTGTGGGAAAGAGAGCCTAGAGGAGAAATAAAATATGCATACTGCTGCACAAGTAAATTCATATTCCATCTACAACCCTAGCCATGTGTTTTCAAGAAGAGTTAATTCATATTGATGCAAGTTGAGTGAGTCTTTAAAATGATGAAGTGAATAAATAACCATTTACATGGAAAAAGAAGGAAACTTTGGCTTATGTTGTACAAAACGCATGGATAATTTTTTTTAAAAGCTGTTCTCAATTACTATATTGCTAATACAGAAGCAAGGAGCTCTAGTAAGCTGCAAAATGTTGGACTGGACTTGATAACACTAGACATTATTCTAGTTTTGATAACCGTGCTCCTGACACCCTGTCCCTGAAAATTAAGCTTTAGATGCTGCTTCTCAGACTTTTCCTCTTGTGTCAGTCACAATGATGGCAGCACTTAAATTAGTAATGAATAGTTATTGATATACCTTAACCATCATCTACCATCCTTACATGCTATTTCCTATCTAAAACTGAAACAGTTATGTGGTACAGTCCACATTTTTCATCAGTCTACTCACTTATTTGAAAACTGTGATATAAATAAACACACTGCAACACACTATTAAGCACATTAAACCTCAACCTGTTATTTATGGCCTTGAGGATTTAGTTGACTAATATTTCAAACAGCTTTAGAATTTCCTTACAGGCAATCCTATACAATCCTCCTATTCTCATTTAGGTTAACAGTGGAATGTTAAGGTCACAGAATCACAGAATGTTAGAGATTGGAAGGGACCTCGAAAGATCATCTAGTCCAATCCCCCTGCCGTAGCAGGACACCTAGATCAGATCACACAGGAACGCATCCAGGCAGGCTTTGAATGTCTCCAGAGAAGGAGACTCCACAACCTCTCCGGGCAGCCTGTTCCGGTGCTCTGTCACCCTCACTGTAAAGAAGTTTTTCCTCATATTCAAGTGGAACCTCCTATGTTCCAGCTTGAACCCATTGCCCCTTGTCCTATCACGAGATGTCACAGAGAAGAGTAGTCAGTACTACTAAAACCAGTTTTGGAAAGAATTCCACCTTTTTCTTTGTTTCTTAGTTCTTCTATAATTTTCTTAGAAACATATAAAAGCCTTTGTTACTTTTCTTAACCTTTCCTCAGTCTAAAGCAACACAGTCTGACAGGATTATCCACACTAAGCCAAACAGAACATTACTGCTTTTACAGAAAAGGGCAAGTTGCACAATAGCAGTGAACATTAGTAACACTTTTCATTAGAAATATTTTCCTGTTAATGTTCAAACAAAAATCTGCCGCTATTAGAGAATTTGCTGATTTTCAGTGAATCATTTCTAGTAACTGACACACAGTGCTTATGAGAACTAGCCCCAAAACCCATATTATGAATCTTTGCCTGATAGTACCATTCTGAACAAAGTATTAATGCAATGTTTTTGAATTTATTGCGCAAGCGATGAAGGCACACATTCTAAGATAAGAAACTAATAACAAGCATACTAGTAAGGAAAATCTGCGTACCAGAGCTGCCATAGCCCAGCCGGTTTTGTTGTAGATGAACTCTAAGTTATTTCTTCGCAGATATAACAAGCCACCAACAAGAGATACCAGAAGAGCCAGTGCAATTGTACCAGAATAGTTAGGAGGCCTGAACACTCTGATCTGGAAAAGAGAAATGCAAATACAGATTGCAAATAAATCCATACATACGGATCACCTTCCATATAAACAAACAGGGAGCATGCGAAATCTGGTTTCAGAGTCAGAAAGACTAATACCTAAAGGTATACTCAAATAAGAAGAAATACTACTTCCTTTAATAAGCACATAATACGAAAAAAGTTTTAAGCATTGTTTTGAACTGTTCAACTCCAAAACATTACTTCTTCAATAGATCTGCATGTTGTGTCTGCATTAGAAGCAGCTACCTTTGGATCTATTTGTTTTGTGTATCGTTTTACAAAGCACGTTTTCCTTATTAACAACTAATTATCACAGTATCACTGCTTGTTTTCATCCAGAATAAGATGATATACACAAAATTGAACAAAGCAAGAATGGAATATAATCTGCAAACTGCAGAAGTTACCCCAAGTACCAGGACTATATTTTTTTAATGTGTTCTAGAGCCTACACTTGAGGGAAAAAAATATTAAGGAAAGACGGAATTTGTCATCAGCTTGTCTCAGACTACAAAGATAGATTTGGCTGCCACTTTTAAAATCATCAAAAGACTTACATGAACATCTGTTCTGTCAGCTATCCATTTAGCTAGCTGCTCAGCTGCAAATCCGATTCTCTGTAGGTCAAATGTGTCAGCTCTCTTGGGTTTACCTTTTGGAGGAAAATGCATGAAAGTCGGAGCAGAGTTCATATTCAGCTACAAAACCCGGAAAAACAGTAGAAAAAAATATTAGCACCTCTATCCTAAAATATGTTTACCTTTTATGTATAAGATAATACAAGCCTAATTAGCATGAAAAATATTCTTTGCCTCCCTATGTTACTCTATTTTATACATCTTCATATACAGTCCGGTAAAAAGAGTGCTCAGAATACTTTCTTCTTGTAGATTCTTTGGGATGTTTAATTATTCAGAGTATTTCACCCGCAAGCTTTTCTGAGTAAAGATATCCTATGCTTTAACATTCCCACACACTGTAAGAACTTTCCTGCAGTTAGTAAAAGAGAGACCTCACACCCATCCACTCTATTAAAATATATTAGGTTATTATTCTTGGGGACGAAAAAAAGTGTTCAAATAGCCTGACATTGTTTCTCTTGCCTAGCTCTCACCAATCCCAAATTAACTAGACTAAACTATTCATCTAGACTTCCACTGCCTTCAAGACAGAATATCCTTTTTTTAAAACCAGAAAGGCCTAGATAACTATCTTAGACTACAGAACTTGCCCTCAAAATTACACAACTGTTAATCTACACTCTGATGTCACTGCAACTATTCACAGTATATAAAAAATCTCAAAGGTGATAAAACAAAGAAATTTACATTTGCCACTTTAAATTTTGACTTCAACCTTGCAAGATGGCATAGGAGAATATAATTTTACTATATAAAAAGATCTATCTTCAGTCCACCTCAGAAATAGGGAAATAAAACACCTGAAAAAATGAAAATTAACAAATCAGGGGAAATACTTAAAGATGATGTAATATGGAGATCTTTAAATAACAAATGCAGAGTAAACTTGTTTCATTCCTGCGAAATTAATCACATTACCAAAATATAATATTGACTAAACACAGTAATTAACAATGTTTAAATTATTATTTTAAAAATAAATATTAAAGTTTTCCCCCGAAAATTTAAAATCACACACTTCACCACAAATACAGGGAACTTCAAAACTTGTCAATCCTCTTAATCTACATTTTTAGCTTCAATCAATATAAAAGCATGTCAGTATTTAGTACTAATTTTCAAGAGATGCATTTTGCCTCCACTACTCAGTTTAAGAGGGGGGCCTGACTGTTCTCTAACAATAGATTTTTCACTCTCCATAGCCAATATATAAAATCTAAACCAG